ACCAAGTACGTCGGGCACCAGTGTGAGCTGGACAAATGTCAATTCTGCGGAACGGGCAAATGTTTGACGTCAGCCTCAGGGGAGGTTTCCTGCAGGTGAGTATCGTGTGGGACGTGGTTACTGTGCCACATCGATTCGACTTGGATTTGTAAATATTTGCTGGCTTTTATTTTGAACTGCCAGAATATTCTTCACCCAAGGTCACCCAGCAATCTGTGGATGTTGTGCTTCCTAACTGTGCACAGCATGGAATATACCATTCTGAAATCGTGGGAATCATTATTATTATTGTTATTATTATTATTCTGCTGCATTAGGATCTGCTGTAATATTTTTTTCCTGCATGTTTGAAGCTGTCCAAATGGTCAGATCCAACCCAGCTGCTACACCTGTTCAAACTACTGCGCACATGGACAGTGTTCAGTAGACAATCGCACACTGCTGCCACAGTGCACGTAAGATCCCAGTAGACATTAACAGGCATATATATACTTAATAATATTTTTGTTTTAGCACACTTACCCACATATCCACCTCTATACCCAGGTGTGCTGTTGGATGGAGGGGATACAGATGTGATATCACAGCTCCTATAGAGTCTCATACTAGTGGTAGTAAGTCAGCCACTCCCTGAAAAAAATCAAAGTTTGCTCAAAGAACATGCACTTTGGTCCTATTTGCTTATCGTTATTTGTTCACTCACAGGTACTGCGTCAATCATCGTCCCAGTGCTGCTGCTGCTGTTGCTGGCACTGCTGGTGGTTGGTGCCATCTTGTGGTACAAGCAGAGAATGCGTGGGTGAGTACTCGTTTGGATGCTTTTTCCTCTTTAAAAAATTCAGACTCCATTTGTCATCTGGTCCTCACCGTTCTGGTCTTTCTTTCTCTCTTACCTTTTGATAACCATCTATTTCCCTGTCTCCCAGGTCTCTATGCCCGGGCAAATCTCGTTCTCAGTGCTCGCGGTAACTTGATAGGGTTACATAATTCACCTGTTGACCCCCAATTCCTCTCCTCTCCCTAAAATACAGTCAAACTGCCTTTGCTATGCTTTTGTCCGTCCTTTTGTCCATTCTGTGGTTCAGTGCCGAAATCTTTCCATTGTCCTCGCTTGCCATCTTCTGTTTGGCTTCCATGGGGTTTCCCACCCAACAACACAGGGGGCCTACTCGCTCTGGAATAGCTCTGGTGATGCACGAGTAGTTGAACTTTTGACGTCCTCCCATTGTCCTCCATGCCTTTCCCTGTTTACATTTGTAAATATTAGGCTCAGGCAATGTGCTTGCAGAGTAAAATGTATAACTGTGCATCTATAAAAAATGTTTATATGCTTGCAAACAGCCGAATATTTGCAATCTAATCCAGCATTCTCCGCGATGGACATGCTGCAGTATATTCGATAGGTTTGATCAAATGGCCTTTTGACACAAAAGCTCATTTGAAAACCTTTGATCTATGTTGTCTTGTTCTTGTCAATTGTACATAGAATGAATTTATGATATGGGTTTATGATAAGACACCTTTTAGTCACTCTAGCTTTCTTCTGAGGTTAGCACAATTCTTTTAAACAAGGGTCTGAATCTGCTTCTAAGATAATTGTTGATGTGTTTCTCTGCAGTGCCAAGGGCTTCCAGCACCACCGAATGACCAACGGGGCCATGAATGTTGAGATTGGCAACCCTGCCTATAAGATCTATGAAGGAGATCCTGATGATGATGCTGGGGAACTTCTGGACTCCGACTTTGCTTTAGACCCAGACAAGGTAACAAAGCTTAAAAAAGCAGTTTCATTAGAAAATATCTGAAAATGCCTGGTAGTGGCTAACCATGCAGATATTTCCACATTTATGAGGTTTTTTTTAATGAATTGGTTTTGGTTGTGGAGTCATTATAGACAGTAAATAGACCCTTCTATGTGATCTAAAGAACACTGAATGAAAGTAGCTGGATTTCTCAATATATTCCTGTCCTTTGGACGTCTAGTGAAAAACAGTTTTCTGTCTTGACTGATCTGGAATCACTTTTCTACATTTATATCCAGTTGTTTGCCATCGAGATCGCCACAGTCCAAACGCAAAAGCTTTAAAGCAAGACTAAGGCTACGTTCACACTGCAGGTGTTAATGCTCAATTCCGATTTTTTGATCAAATCTGATTTTTTTGTCTGCTCGTTCACACTACAAATAAAATGCGACAGCAAACGCGCTCTAGTGTGAACGCTCAAAGC